AAAATATATATAGGAATATGGTGTCCAGGAAATGGCAGATCCAAATCAGGAGAATGAGAAAAATGGGAAAAAGCCTCAGGAAGGAATAGAGGGCAGTAAGCTGGGTTGACAGCCCAAAGGTTTTGAGAAAAAAGGAGGTTCAGTAGAGCAGGTGATAAGTTACATGACATCACAGAGCATATGAAAAAAAATCACAATATATGAAACATTGCTACATGTAAAAATTCAAAGCATTTACTAACTAGAAAAAGAAAAGTTGCTCAAAAGAAAAAGTTAATCATTATATAATGATGACTCTTGAAAGAGTAATGTACATAATCATAAATAAGTACACAAAGTTACTGTTTTTTTTTTGTTGTTTTGTTTGGTACCAGAAACTGAACTTGGGACCTTGCACTTGTGAGGGAGGTGGCAGAACCACTGAGCCAAATCCGCAGCCCTCAGAGTTACTGTTTTAACCAAAATTAGTGATACAGATATCTTGGAAGGACAAGAGGAAGGTGGAATATTGGGTGTTAGACATATGCATGTGCTTCCAAGGGAATTGAATTCACATTTACAATAAGAGGAGACTAATATATAATATCTAAAAATCAATCAATCAATAAAGATGCCAATATATGCCTATAATTTGGTCAGACTTTTTTTTTGTACCAGGGATTGAACTAGGGACCTTGCACTTGCGAGGTGGGTGGCAAAACCACTGAGCTAAATCCCCGACCCTAATGCCTATAATTTAGAAATATAGAGACACTTAGGAGAAGTAATGAGAAAGGTTTAAGTCATTCTTTGGAGGGTGGAACAGGGATTTCTCAATACTCTTTTTTCTGGTTATAGTCTTAGAACCTGTGATTTTGATTCAAATACTGAAAAATCAATGCAAAGAAATAACATGGGTGGAGGCAGAGGAGAAGGATTGGGAGGGAAGATTCACACGGGGGAAAGTGTCTCACACTGATCCAGGTGTCCAGCCCATGGAGCTGCTGGGTGGGTGAGAAGTTTCCTGTGGTGTGTGTGTGGGGGTGGAGATCCTCACTGTGGTCATCCCAGTGTCTTTCCTTTCCATGTAAGTGTGTAAGTAAATGTGGTCTGGGGGAATGAGGGACAGGGCCACGCAGGGGTGTGGTGGGAGGGCCCAGCTGCAGAGCACAGCAGAGCAAGCTCCTCCACCTCCTCATACTACAAGAAGGAGGCTCTTAGGAAGAACCAGGGTCTGATTCTGGAAAAAAAATCACATTCTGCTGTTCAGTGGCCTGAGGAAGAGGTGACCTTGCCCTCTACTGCCCACTGCTCTGAACATCAAATGTCATCGACTCGATGACAAGATGGCACGAAAGCAGTGATATCAAGATCTTTGGTGTCACTTCCTACCCCCAGCCTCTGGTCTCCCCCTGTAACATAGCTATCTTTTTTTTTTTTTTTTTTGGTACCGGGGATTGAACTCGGGTCTTTGCGCTTGCGAGGCAGGCCACCAAACCGCTGAGCTAAATCCCCGGCCCTAACATAGCTATCTTAACTACCCTGTCTTGAGCACCTACTGTGTACCAGGCAGGCACCCCAACTCTCATCCTGGGACAGTGGATGGTATGTGGTCTTCAAGGGAGACAGAAACTGGTGAGGCAGAGACGCGGGAGAGGGTGAAGGCATCAGTGTGCAAAGGTCTGGGGATCCCGTGGACTGAGCTGCTGCACCTCGAGCTCCTGCTGGAAGGGCGGGAGGAACAGGCTGGAGTCAGGGCCTCCTCCATTCTGGAGTCAGAATGGCAGGGCTTCCTTCTCTTAACCATGGGGACACCTGCAGGGGTGAGAGACACAGGCGAGTCAGATTTCAGAAAGTCCTCCAGAAATACAGTGTGGATGGTAGACCATCGGACCAAGGTGGGACAGGAAGCCAGAAGGCCACTGCTGACACAGTTCAGGAGAGAGACAGGGCTGTAGTGTTGGGATGGGGCGGTCGGAGGTGCTGCACAGAAGTGAATGCATTCCTGACCCATGAGCTGAGGCAGGTAGAGGTCTCAAGAGGCCAAGGAGGCTTCCACCTTCTGCTCTGGTGAACAACAGAAACAACATTCACGAGGAGGAGCTGCTACAGAAAGAAAGGCTGGGTGGGAGTAGGGGGCTCAGCACTCAGTGAGAGACTGGGGAACCAGGGCGGTGCAAGGAGAGCAGGTGGGGCAAGAAGGTGGCCAAGAAGGAGCTGCACAGGAAGAGGAGAAGCAGCCAGAGCCGTGGCAGCATTGTGGCATCTGCAGTGACCAGAGTTGGGGGTGGGGACGCTGAGGGCAACAGCCAGGAGAGCACGGGTGGCAGTCTGTCGTCACAGAGAGTGGAGCTGCAAAGACAGTTGCAGATTTCTATCTCCTTCTGGGGCAAAGCTCTCGGGGTTTTGGGCTGCGCCATTTGGAGGAGGCGGGCCCTCTGGCAGTCACTGCCATGCTGTGGGCACAAGGAAGGAACGAAGTCTAAAGAAGGCGCACAGAACTCGGAGGAGGAGAAAACGCAGGTTTCTGGTCCCAGCAGGAGGGGGCACTCTGGGGCTGAGCCCAGTTGCTCTGCCGTCTCCCCACCTCCCTGCATCTTCCTATCCTTCCTCCCCTTTGTTCTGGACGCGGGAAATTCACAGATGAACATGACACAATGGTTGCCCCAAATGTTCCCTGTTGCGTCCTAATCCTTCACAGGATGGTGTGGAGGTCGAAAGAGTCAAGAAGACGCTAGAGGTAAATATAGTGACCAAGCCATGAGAGCTGGGGTGGGCAGTCCCTGGCCTTCAAGAGACATCTTTGACAGGTTTTGAATCTAGGGTGATGCAAAGAATCAAAAAGATTTTTTTTTTAAAGCCATCAGAGCAGGGGCCTGGAAGAAGGGAAACATCTCAGAGAGGTCAAGTTGGGAGAACTGGTACCGTGCTGTGTGGACTTACAGCTTCCAAAACTGTGTGCTCCATGGCTTCATTATGGGGGTGAGAAATGGGCTGAGTTGGGAAATGTTGTCCTTAGCTGGCTGGTCATGAGCACACCTGCCAGCGGGGAACTTCATCAGGAAAGGAGAGGAGAGGAGAGGAGGGAAATGTGTTCTGGACACATCAGCAGTCTCCGCCACACTTAAGAAAAATAAAAACGTAGATTCGGGGGATGGGGATACATTCCCTGCAGGATACCAGTATAAAATGATAATATGCCCAAATTATGTAGATGTCCTTCCTGAAATGTTTCTTAATTCTGCAATTATATCAGGTCCCGAGTGCCTTTCACAGAGAGGTAAACTGAGGCTTGCGGTAGCCGAGTGAGTAGTCTGAGGACCCAGGGCAAGACAGTAGGCAGCCCTTCTGCTCCTCATCATCTCTTCCTCCCTCCTGCTTGTTCCCCCAGCCTTTTCTGCAGTTGAGGGGCTGGATCTTGTTGTCTGCTTAGCTGGCTGGGGGTAATAGTTAACCGACTGTGTCAGCTTCAGTGGGAAACACCCAACTAAACTGAATCAGCATAGTTTTGGGTGTGGAAGACCCATCTGAGTAGGTTTGTCTCTTGAATGGTCTAAAAGGGAGACAAAGAAGGAAGGCTCACCTCTGTTTCCTTGGAGCTCCTCCAGTCTTCACCTTCACCTTGGAGATCTCCTAGCTTCCAGTGCAGACCCATCAAACTCCCACCTCAGACCCTCTGGCCTCCTGATATGGAATCGCCCAGAACAGCACAGTGAGCTCCAGGCCTTCAACTGGATCCTTCAGATCTCCGGTGCAAAGATAGACCTTTTGCACTCCTCCATACCTGACTCTGTGGCGGGGGGCATTGTACGCCTACCTTGTAAATTCTTATATATTTGCATATCTTGCTTTAAATCTGTAAGAAGGAAGGCTCACCTCTGTTTCCTTGGAGCTCCTCCAGTCTTCACCTTCACCTTGGAGATCATCTCCTGGTGGGGGTGTAATAGTTAACCGACTGTGTCAGCTTCAGTGGGAAACACCCAACTAAACTGAATCAGCATAGTTCTGGGTGTGGAAGACCCATCTGAGTAGGTTTGTCTCTTGAATGGTCTAAAAGGGAGACAAAGAAGGAAGGCTCACCTCTGTTTCCTTGGAGCTCCTCCAGTCTTCACCTTCACCTTGGAGATCATCTCCTGGCTTCCAATAGTTAACCGACTGTGTCAGCTTCAGTGGGAAACACCCAACTAAACTGAATCAGCATAGTTCTGGGTGTGGAAGACCCATCTGAGTAGGTTTGTCTCTTGAATGGTCTAAAAGGGAGACAAAGAAGGAAGGCTCACCTCTGTTTCCTTGGAGCTCCTCCAGTCTTCACCTTCACCTTGGAGATCATCTCCTGGCTTCCAGTGCAGACCCATCAAACTCCCACCTCAGACCCTCTGGCCTCCTGATATGGAATCGCCCAGAACAGCACAGTGAGCTCCAGGCCTTCAACTGGATCCTTCAGATCTCCGGTGCAAAGATAGACCTTTTGCACTCCTCCATACTGGACTCTGTGGCTGGGGGCATTGTACGCCTACCTTGTAAATTCTTATATATTTGCATATCTTGCTTTAAATCTATTTCTCTAGTAAGCACTGACTGATACACCGGGTTTTGGGAAAACAGAATGCAGACATGTTTTTCAACAGGGAAAACTTAAAACAGGGGATTGGTTGACAAGATCTTGGAAGTGAAGACTAAGGAAGGCAAAAGACACTGAGCAACCAGCTAGGAACTGCAGGAAGCAGCCACGACCCTTGTGACTGTGAGAAGATGAGGAAGAAATCTGGGTGATCACAACCCAGAAACTAGGAGGAGGATGAGCCCTGGGTAGCTGGCACCCAGGACGTCAGACCTCTGGGAAGGGGGTGAGTTGACACTGGTCTTGGGAAAGACCAGAAGCTGACATTCACCTTGGAAACAATGTAGAGCAGTTGGCTACAGCCAGCAGTTCAAAGAAGCAAGCCCCTTCCTCCCTCAACTCCCTCCAGCCTCCTCCAGGACCCACATTTGGTAGAAACTAATGGGATTCAGCTAACAGGGGATTGGTTGACAAGATCTTGGAAGACTAAGGAAGGCAAAAGACACTGAGCAACCAGCGAGGAACTGCAGGAAGCAGCCACGACCCTTGTGACTGTCAGAAGATGAGGAAGAAATCTGGGTGATCACAACCCAGAAACTTGGAGGAGGATGAGCCCTGGGTAGCTGGCACCCAGGACGTCAGACCTCTGGGAAGGGGGTGAGTTGACACTGGTCTTGGGAAAGACCAGAAGCTGACATTCACCTTGGAAGCAATGTAGAGCAGTTGGCTACAGCCAGCAGTTCAAAGAAGCAAGCCTCTTCCTCCCCTCAACTCCCTCCAGCCTCCTCCAGGACCCACATTTAGTAAAAACTAATGGGATTCAGTGGGGCAAAGCAGAAACAACATTTGTAGTCACAGCCGACACCATATAGCCGAGCACAGAAGGTAGGTTTGGAGCCAAGCAGAGAGAATTTAATGACTAACCAGAGACTTTGAGTGCACGTACAGCGCAAGCGTCTACAGACCTGAAGCTACCTTCTCTGAGCCAGTGGGACCAGGTATCTTGAGCGTCTGTCTTTTGATATATCGGCTTGGAGGGACGGGTTCTGGTTTAGATTTTTTTTAAAAGTGTCTCCCAAATTCTCATGTATTCAGAGGCAGGGCTTTCAAAAGGGCTCTCACTTTGTCATTAGCTGAACCCTTTGACGAGGTCATAAATATTGTCACGAAGACAGAGAGCTGGCTAACCCAGAATGCAAAAATAGTGCCATCACTTTGAAATAGTTTTCTTACAAAGTTAAATATGCATGTGCTGTACAACATGGCAGCCCTCACTTAGATATTTATAAAGACGAAAAGAAAACCCCTGCCCATGCCAACATGTCTATGCTCCAATGTTTGTAGCAGTTTTGTTTCCACACAAACTAGAAACAGCTCCAATGTCCATGAATTTGTGAATAGATAACAAACCATGGTATAGTCACAAAATAAAATACTCCTTGGCAGTAAAAAGAATGAATTACTGATGTCTACCTCAACATTAATGAATTTCGACAGCATTATACTATGTGAAAAAAGCCAGGTGCAAGAATTATCTACTCTGACTCTTTTAGGACATTTCAGAAAGGACAACAGAAAAATGCTAGAAAGTAGATCAGTGACCATCAGGCCTGGAGCTGGAGGGAGGTGACCAGCTGCAAAGGAGCAAGAGGAATCCTTGGGGACCATAGATGTGTCTTCCACCGTGGCTATGGTGGTAGTTACATAATTGTCAGAAACCACAGTGTTGTGTATTTTGAGTTGGTGAGTTTGATGAGCATGAATTATAGCTTGATAGAGCTGATTTTAAAAAAACCAAATAAAATGTTACTGGAAGAGGTACTTCCTTCTCTTGCTACCCATCCCACCAAGCATAAATCCAGCAATGTCACTTCTTACTGAAAACATTCAGAGGTGTTCTTTCCTCTTTGAATGAAATCCAGGCGAATACAGTGGCCTACAAGTCCATTTGCTCTGATTACTCCCTGCAACGCTTTGAGGGCCAGAAGCAAGAGCAGAAGAAGAGGTCCATACATCACGATCCTAATTCTGCACAGTTCCAAGTCAAGCCAAGCAACTGCCAAAGAGCAAGTTCCAACCTCCACTCTTGACAACCTGGAAGTTCAGGTTCAAACTAAGAGTCGCTTGAGTCCTTGGCATGCTGTGCCAGAAGCTGATGGCATTGACAGCCAGGCTGCAGCCTAAGTCCCTTCTCACCTTTCCAGCCCCGTCCCATCTAAAACTGAGGCTCCTTGCCAGGCCCCTGTGTAAGTTCATGTTTGCCAACCCCTGAGGGGCTGTTGCTGGAGATGGAACCAGGCAGACTGGATGTTAAGTATGTTTCTCCACGAATGGTACTTGGCTCTGTGCGCATGCAGGCGTGTGTGCATATGTGCGTGTAAGCTCGTGTGGTGTGTGTGTTTATTCAACAGCAGTGTGAGCTGCTTGAAGGCAGCTATAACTCTGCTGCCCGCTGCAACGCAGATGCTAAATGAATGCTGGTACAGTGAATGAGTGAACCAATGCTGGAATAGCAGTTATTAACAGTGCGAGTTTTGAAGCAGCCACAGTGAAGGTTCAAATGTCACTCTGACACTCACTTTGGCTTAATCTCCTAATCCCCTCCTAAAGCCTTCATTTCCTCCTCTCCACAACAGGGATAAGCATATCACTCATTGTATGGGTGTGGTGTGAGGATTAAATAACAATAATCAAAGCCAACGTGTACTGAACTGGACTGTGGGGCGAGCACTGTTTTAAGGGCTTTCCAAGTGCTGACTCACACGCAGCTCCCTGCAATGTTACGGGGGTGGATGGTTACACTGAGTGAACTCTCGGTGCACCTTGGCTGTTGTCATATTTATGATCGAAGGAGAGAAGGTCAGTATCACAAGCCGGGGACTCTCCTGAGTCCTTCTCAGACTGACCGATGGTAGTTTCCAGGAGACACAGTGGGTTCCAGCAGGGGACCATCTGCCCGGCTACCACACAACTCCTACCCTAGGCTGGACTGGTCCTTCTATCGCACTTAGCACATCTATCCTCGAGGTGGCGCTGCAGAGAGCGAGAGAGCCCGGCCGCCGAGTCGCAGCCTCAATAGAGGTGGTCGGGTTTCAACAACGCTGTGGTTAGTACCAAGCTTTTCCACCAGAGGGCTAGGCAAGAGTGGATGACAGATAACGGGGTGGGAAGAGAGAGGTGGATGTGATTGGTTGTATGATAGAGAGGAGCAAGGGCAGGGGAGATAAAGAAGGGAAGGACCAGGTCATATGAAGGAAATTTTCATCTAGAGCCTGGCACATAGTAGGTGTTTGGCACATAATAGGTGCTTGATGCATTTTTGAGCAGACGATTAGTACATAGATCCTATGAGGCAAATGTTATTATGACCATTTGGAAAAATAAACAAGGAGAGTCGTGGTCTGGGAGGCGTGCGGTAGAGCCAGGGCGTGTGCGCTCCAGAGTCAGTCGGCTTCCTGGAGGAGGGTGGGCGCCCTGCCTTCAGGACAGTTGCTGTCTCGCTGGCTCCTTCCACACCCTTCTTGCCTTCAAATGCTGTCCCAGGCCTGCCAGGGCTGCCTATTTATGGCTCAGGGATGAGGTCCAGCAAAACTCCCCTCATAAATTATAATGGCAAGCACATGTGGGCCAGGATTGGGGAATTCAGTGTGAGAGAGATCCCCAGGAATCTTGCTCAGTGTAATCAGGGATTTTCCTTCTCTTCCCCAGGAGAGCAGCTGACGCAGACAGTGGGCATCTGCTGGTCCCTGAATGAGCACCTGGCCTCTCCAGGTCCTGCGCTGAAGCCTTGGGCCCTGACCACTTCTGCTTAGAGGCAGTTTCTTCACCCCCACATGGGGCTCTTATCTGTGCACCTGGCACCTCCACGAGGAAGGTATGAGAGGCGCTGTGCACCCTGAAATCTGCACATCCTTCCCTTGTTTAGGCTCTGGGTGCATATTCAGCCTGCCCCGTGTGAGAAGATTATGAAGGGGCATCCGTGCAAACACTCAGGACGTGCAGAGATGCTGCCCCCAGCATTAGCTTTTGAGTCCTTGAGTCTATCTTTTCAGCATCCCATGCTTTCTGTCACCTGCTTCAGATATCAAAGTTGACAGTTTGGGGTGTGCTCTCAAAGCAACCTGGAGGGAAGGGAGACCCCGGTGCTTTCTTCTGGGAATTAAATGTACAAACTGGTAAGGTGGGCTTTGGGCTCACAGTTGGAGACACTCGATGGTGTTTTCATTTGGATGGAGAGAGGAGGTTATCAGAAGTTGGTTATCAGAAGTCTGTTTGGGAGAGTTTGGGGGGGGGTCTCTGAGGGAGAGGGACTTACTCAGAAAAGAAACACTAAATAGCATGGCACAGGGGGTTGAGCTCTGAGGAGCAGAGAGCCAGATCTTTATTTGTTCCTCTTTTTATATCCTACACAGTGAGCTGCTACATGTCACTAGTCACAAGCTACATTAATTGTTACAGAAGGTAAAACCTTACAGAGGTTATACATGGCAACAGTAAATTTTGTTTCTAGAGCCAAGGTATGGCAAGCATATGTCTGAATAAACGGACTCAGGGAGCCGTTCTTTCCTTATCTACAAGGATCAGAGAGTACCTGGGACACTGCAAGTGCACGACTGGGAGATCATCCTTGATCTCTTGCTGTCAGGACTTCCTCACAACTCCGTGAATGCACACACAGGTCACCCAGCGGTCTCCTGCACTGAGACAATTCCAACAGAAGAGGTCAAGTCAGGCGTCCTTTCGTACCTGCCCCGAGGCAAACACTTGCCTAGGAAATGTGCCAAGAATCTGGCTTCTCTTCCGGATCATTCTGTCCCCTGAAGAGGTGACAGCAGCCAGGGGGCGCCTAGAGTGGGAGAGTTGGCAAAGGGACAGGGGAGAAGGCCAGGAACCCCTACACAGCAGCAGGATTGCCACCCACTGCTGACAGAGTGTCTGGTCTCAAATTACACTGTATCAGAGCTCTGGCATAAAATTAGCAGCAATGTTCTGTGTGAGAGCAGCCAGAGAAATCCTCATATTCAGCAGAACCAGGCAGGCGCAGAAGAGAAAGAAGGAAGCTGGGAGGGAAAGGGACACACCTGCGTCCCCCGCTGCAGAGGTGGCTGCCCCGCTGCTGAATCAGGGTCACAGGAGAGCTCTTGGGGTAGAGGGGAGGTTGGGATGAGGGGAGGCAAGATCGGGGGAAACCTGGAGTCGTGAACTTGAGGAATTGTCTCACCTGAAACTCACACACACACACACACACACACACACACACACTGCAATTGAGGAACACGAATAAGAGAATTCCAGAGGTTTTACATGTTTCATACATTTTTGGCATTGTTTTGCCACAACCCCACTAAGTAAGCCTGTCTTTGCAGATGAATGAAGGAAGGTTCAAAGAGACTGCAGTGGTGTCCCCGGGACACGCCACTGAAACACACCTGTGACGATACCCACTTCAATTTGCAGGTGGATATTCTTCCTGTTCAGTGTCACCATCAGAGGACACGGTACAAACAGGTGCGCACATGCCTACACATAGTATGAGTTTATACACACGTGTGTGTTTTCAGCTACACACAAGATGCACTCGCAGCTTACACAAGCCCATGTCGTGCTCAACCGCACTTCCCCGCTGAGATGGTTCTGCCACTTCCTGTCCCTCCTGCCCGGTGCCTCCTTTCTGGTTGGCCCTGGCCAAATGCCTGTCCCTCTCTCCACTTGCCATGAACAGGCCTGGGCCACTGCTGCTCCATCCGTTGGTGCCTGCTGGAGACACGGCCTGGTCTGCGTCGTAGTTGGTATCATCTCTAGCTCCTCAGGTGTGAATCCCTCCACATGCTGCATCTGTGTGCTATCACATCCTTTATGCAACTCACAGTTCCAGTCCTGAGCTCCCCGAAGCCTCGGTGACTTCAAACTATTTTTATGCAACAGTTCAGCTGACCATTTCTGCACTGTGCAGGCAGCTTACACCTGGACCTTACACCGGTGCAGGTTACAGGCTTGAGGCTCTGGGAGGGTGTGGTGTCCCTCAACTCCTGTGGTGACCCCAGGCTGGCAGCAGAATTCTGGCCCCGTCATCGGTTCCGACACCCAGCTTCGAATTGGGAGCTCAGGTTCACATTCATGACAACAGAAGGACTGGTAGCCTGATCCCAGTGTCAAACTAGGCATTAAAATTTCAGCCGTTAGCGCTCTGGGAGGCAGAAGCAGGAAGACTAAAAGTTCAAGTATAGTCTGGGTGATTTAGTGACTTAGTGAGACCCCGTCTCAAAATAAAAACTAAAAAAGGGCAGGGGATGTGGCTCAGTATCAGTGTTCCAGGTTCAATCCTTAGTACTGCCAAAAAGGAAACAAAAAACCTCAACCCAATAACGTGTACCAAGCCCTGCTATTCCCGTGGGCTATGTGGGCTGTGATCCCCTCTTACTTGTATAATTCCCTGGTCCCTCTCTTCAAACCTGAAAATTACATGTTCTTGTTTCTGAGCTGGGATTTGTATGCTTAAAATACCTAAAATCATGTCACCCAGCATTTTATGCACTCGGAGTATCACGGGAAATTTCACCTTCTGTTCATCCTGACATCTTGATTTCCCTCTGCAGTTCAAACCAGTACCCTTCTCCCTCTTTCTGCCTTCTTGTCCCCTCCTTGAACTTCCTCCACTTCTGTGTCAGGCTTTCAGGGAACCCTCAAAAGGTGCTGGTCTCAGTGGCGCCCACCGCCCTGCCTGGCTGGCTGACTTCACTGGGCCAGGGGTGCGGGGCTGGGCACACGGCAGGTCCCATCCTGAGCATTCACGCTCCACCCTGGGCTGTGTGGGGGACAGCAGGCCCCCTGGGGTGGCTGGGTGGAGCGAGGACAAGTTTCAGAGGAAGGACTTGCGACTACCAGCAGCTCTGTTCTCGAGCAAGACAGCCCACGAGGGCCAAGGTTGGGTCCTGTCCCACTCCTGTTGTCTGGGATGTGAGAGATCTGGGGGTGCTGCAGGCCCCCCTAGGCTGGCTTTGTCCCCACAGACCCCTGTCCAAGCACAGCATCGGTTTAGGGCACAGGGGCAGCAGGCTGGGCTGTGAGAAAGGCCCATGGCAGTGAAGAGTCCCCTGCTGCCTCCTCTCCTCCCCACTCTGCTGTTTTTCTGCTCTGTGTCCACGACGCGTGCGTACGCTCGGGTGTGAATACGAGCGTCTGAGCGTGTGTGACAGTGGGTTCCCAGGGTGACCGCGCTTCCTGCAGGTTCTCATAGCCATGCGCACCAGCAGGAGCTGTTCATCCATTCTCCGGGCGGCCGGGTGTCGGCAGAGCTGCAGGAGCACCGTGGGCTTCCCGGCCTGCAGGGGCCTCACTTCGGGGGATGGGTCCGGGAAGGCCTCACCAAAGGGCGGACTTCCAGACAAGACCTGCGGGGGCCGGGAAGATGGCATTTGTCGCAGAGGAAGCAGCACACAAGCAGGCCCCGAGGAGCGGCCCTGGGTCCTGGCGGGGAGGGAAGAGCGAGTGTGGCAGAGGAGGCAAAGCACACGGGGCTGTGGGACTCCCGAGGCTGCAGGGCCAGGGGTGGGGACTCCCTCCCAGCACAGGAGGGTTGTGACCAGGTTTCCAAAGCTCCCTGTGGCTGACAGCCCCGAGGAAGGGCAAGCTGGGCATGGGGACCGAGGTCAGTGCGGCCCAGGGTGCGTGGGTAAGGTGCCCAAACCAACCTTCACACTCTAGCATGACAGAGGTGGGGGAAGCAGGGAGGCCTCCTTGGAGGAAATGGCATCGGGCTGCACCTAAGGCGTGGCAGGCAGCGGGGAGCCTGCGTGCTGGGCCGGGAGGAGAGCGGGGCAGAGGCTGGGCAGCATGGGAGGGAGGGTCATCTCGTGCCAGAGGATGGGCAGTGGCTCCTCACAGTCACTCCCCCTGCAGGCTAGGCCAGCACCAGGACTGGGTCTCTGGTAGGGTGGGGGCTCCCGATGCTCTGCCAAAGCCTGGAACCGGAGGGTGGCCACTTCCCCAACTGCTGTGCATCTGGGTAGAGTGACAGGAAGTGCAGGCCCAGGGTGGCTGGAAAGGACTCGGGTGACTGGGGAGGAGGAGCCTGAGCTGGGGCCCCAGGAGGCAGGGTGGGGCCTCCTCAAGGCGGCTCCTGGGGACTCCCGGGATCACAGGCCACAGCCAGACACCGGGAGCCTGGAGGAAGTGAGAGGTGACGTCCTGGAGCACCCATTGCCATGGCCCTGGCCCAGCAGCTGCGGGCAGAGAGGTGAGTGTGGGGCACCCCCTCCCGGCCTCCCCTCTGCTCCCTGCAGGCCTTGGTGTGGAGCAGAGGTGAACCCTTCTGTTGCCCCCTCCCACGCACAACTTGAGGTGCTGGGTTGAGTTTGAACGTGAAACACGGAACTGTAGCTCTTGGAACTGTGTTCAGGAGCCTTGACGTAATGACTCACCGGCCTCAGGCACGACGAGGACAGAGAAGCTCAGAGAGCGGTAGTGACTTGCCCAGGTTGCACACCTCTTTCAGCCCAAATGTCACCTCCTCCGCAATGCCTTCCCTGACAGCCCCTACCTCTGCTCTCTGAACCCTTGCACTGTTTGCTTTTTCTACACAGTCCTTATATCGCTGGTGTCACGTTATATTCTCCCTTTTTGTTTTTATTTCTTTGTCCTTGCCATTATCTTTATCCATTTGTCCGTTTTGGCCAAGGCAGTGATATAGAACAGCACTGGCCCAGGAAGAATGGGGTAAATGTCACTAAAGTGATTAATGCATGGATCGCTGAACTAAAGAATGGCTTAGATCCTTCTAGGCCAATGCTACCATCATACAGATGGGAAAACCGAGCCCCAGGGGAGGACACAGGATTTCCCTGGGGCTGAGTAAGTGGCAGGACTGGGCCTTACCTCTCAGTAGCCAGACCTGCCACTCCCAGCTCTGGGGACCCTGAGGTCAGAGTGCGGCTCCTGTCCCCTGGATAGGAACAGCAGTGATATTAGGGGCAAGTGCCTACATTAGCCACTTGAGTGCTGTGGGACAGAGGCCAGGCCCAGTAGGAGCAGAGGGTCCAAGGCAGAGCCTGGGGCTGGAAGAGGAAGCAGGGGAAGAATTTCCCAAGGTCTAAGGTCAGAAAAAGGGCTCAACCCTGTGAAGGCGGCAGGGGCAGCGAGGTGCCTGCCTAGAGGTGGGCGATCCCAGTGACTTCCCGTGGCACCCAGGGGCCGAGTGAGGTCATCTGGATTCCAGATCCTCTTCCCCACAGGTGCTCAGGAGAGACAGTGAATTCACTCCCCCAGAAGCAGCAGCAGCTTGGGGCTGGGCCACTTCCTGCTTCAGCAGATGATGCGAGGACTGGCCCACAGGACTGTGGGCTTCCTGCTTCCCATACTGCCCCTCTGACGGAAACCTTAACCCAGGGAGCAACACCCCGACTCCCTCCCTCATGGGCCTCCCCGCGTCTCCAGCGCTTCTGGGAAGCTGGGCCCCCTCGCTCTGCCTGAGGCCACAGCAAAGGACACACCACAAACTTTCCAGAACCCCGAGGTGTGACGATGGGCAGGGCCATCCCAGTGGTGGCTGAGAATTTGACCTCTAAGCCACATTCTGGGGATTATTGTGTGCCAGTGCCTTTCAGGGCCCTTGTGGTCCTCAGTCTGCCCTCCTGGGCCCCTCAGAACCTCTCAAGAATTGCACATGTGTCTTGAGCCCAGCATCCTAGCCCAGTAGGACCTGAAGCCAGCGAGGGAGCGGCTACACTGGGGGAGCCCTGCTGGGCTCGCTGTGCCAGTCCCCCCCCACCCAGCTGCCTCCTTGTTCCCTCGCATGCAGCCTGGCCACTGTCATACTCTGACAGAGGTGGCAGCTGTGTGTTGAGCACCTACTAAGTGTCTAGGGCCCTCCTCGGCCCTGGGGACACAGTGTGGGCCGAGTCCCGCCCCCGTGGGGTTTAGCCTGTGCTTGCAACAGGGGGGGCATCCTGACCAGCCTGAGACAGTACTTCCATTGTCCCCACTTTGAAAGGGGTGGAAGGGGCTGGTGCACAGAGAGGCATCTTCCCAGGGTCCACACTGGCCGTGGTCCAGCGGGAACTTGTCTTCACAGAGCTAGACCGGAGCCCTGACCAGCGTCCTGTGTCTGCTCAGATCTGCCCTGCTCAGCCTACCTGTCGGCGACCTCCATCCCAGGAAAAAGCTGAGGCTCCTCATAGCGGCACAAAGACGCCCCCTGTGGGGCTGGGAGGACTGAACAGGAAGCCACCCTCAGGGCACTCAGCCCAGGGTCAGGCCTGTGCTTAACGCTACACAGGGTTTGCTAAGAAAGGGACCATTGCACATGTGGGCTTCAAGGAACCTGGGTTTGTCCAAGTCCACCCACAGCTGACGGGGGCTTTCAGTGACAGTGTAGCTGTGTTCTGAGAGAATATTCTGGAACCAGGCTGACTGGGCTCAAATCCCAGCTTCTGATTTCCTTGGGCAAGCTAGTTAATCTCTCTGTGCCTCAGTTTCCTCATCTGTAAAATGACAGAATCCTCTCAGAGGAATTCTGAGTGTCCAGCGCACAACCCGGAAGTAGCTTGCTGTATGCAGTTAGTGTTACCCAACTTGCTCAGCCAATAGCTGCCCAGAGCTGTTTGGCCTCTAGTAACTTCCGGGCCCTCCCCATCTTGCTACATTTGAAAGGTTCATGAAATACACAGCCTGTGGGGAGAAAGTAGAGATAGCAGCTCCTCCTAGGGGAAGAAAGTGAGAGGGAAGGTTGCTCAGCAGCCACAGAGTTCCCAGAGGCTCAGGGCAGGGATTTCTCCCTCCTGCCCACTGCTCCCCTGAGTCACTTTCCAGTGGTGACCATGGTCTCACCCACGTGATGGGTGCAGCCACTGATGCAGACCTGGATGTGGGCAGACCAGGTCACATGGGGAAAGCATGGACTGGGACGAGGGCTCCTGCAGTCCCAACCAGCAATGAGCCCTTGAGTGTGGGGTCCACCCCATCTCCCAACTGTGCGGACAGAAGAATCACAGCTGCTTCCTGTTTCCGCCTCTGTGCACAAGGGGCCGAGCCTCCCTCGTTCCTCTGCTGCCTACATTCTTACCTCTGTCCCACCCGGCCCTCTTTTCCACACCAGATGGCTGTCGCCTCAGCCACTCCACTGAGCTCCACATATGAACCCCAGCCTCCTGCTGGGCACCGACAAGCTGCCCCAAACTGAGTCCCTTACCCACCTGAAATGTGGGCATCACCTTGGCATTGCTCTTGCTTTCACCTCCACATCCAAAAACTGCTCACACCCTGCTGGTCTCAATTTGCAGACTGGTAATGTGTCCCTAGCAAAGGCATTAGGCTGCAGGAGAAAGAGGAACTGAGAGGGGCTTAAACAACGAACAGGGTATGTTTTGTCACATAATAAAAAGGTCAAATTCAAACTACCGCTGGTTACGCCAGGACTAGCATCCCAGAGACTCATTTGCTTTTCTTCATGTTTTTGCCTCATGGACACAGTGAGGCTGCTAGTGATCCAGATGTCACATTTGCTTTCAAGGGAGAAGACCAAACCAGCCTTGCCCATCTCTCCAGATCAGTAAAACAAACATTTGAGAAGCTCCTGCACCAGACTTCCTCTTAGGTCTCATTGGCCAGAGCAGGTCACAAGGCCATTCTGTGCTGCTAGGGGACTGAGAAACAGGACAGGATTATTATGTTTGGTTCAGACAAGCATGACCTGTCACCTCTGGTCTAGGCACACGGCCACTTTGAACAGAGTTGACACTTAGCCAGGAAGAAGCAGGAACACAGCAGATACTAACAGCCTGCCAAGTGTCTGCCGACACCATCCCTGGTATAATTAGCCATTTCTGTGTGTGGCTCTGTGTGGGTCAGCTTTGTGTTACTATGAGACAATACCTGAGGCAAGTAGCTTATAAGGATAGCAGGTTTAGCTAGGTCCACGGTGCTGGAGGTTCCAGTCTGAGCTCTGGGCCTCCGGCGAGGCAGAGTACATCGTGGCAGGAGCACATGGCAGACCAGACCACTTACATCAAGGGCCAGCTGTCAGCAGAGACTCAGGATGAACAGGGTCCCCTTCAAGGTCATGGCCCAGTGACCTAAGGACCTCCACCGAGGCCCCGCCTCCCGAGGGCCCACACAACCTCCCAGTAGCCCCACTCTGGGGACAAAGTCTTTATCCGTAGCCCTTTAGGGGGCTCCTCCAGACCACAGTGGGATCCCAGGGTACTCTGTCCAGGATAGCTGTGGCCTTGCTTATCCCGGAGACCATCCTGGTGACCCATCCACTGCACAGCGGCCTGTTAGACCAAGACCTGGCCAGCGCCACCTGTCCCTCATCTTCTCGCCCTCACCCCCAAGGCCTGCTCCGTGTGTGTCATCTCCGGGTTCCCAGCACCCGCGGGGGCCTGGCACAGGGAGGAGCACCCATGAGGACTGCAGGCTACTCCATCAGCCTTCTCTGCACCGGCCTCACACCCAGCAGGCTTGGAGCTCAGCGGTGATAACCAGGATCCTTCCCTCTTCCCGCCCTAGTGACTTTGAACAGCTTCCGGATGACGTGGCCGTATCAGCCAACATCGCCGACATCGAGGAGAAGAGGGGCTTCACCAGCCACTTTGTGAGAACGACCCCTGCCCCATGGCCCTCCGGCCTGAGTCTCCAACTCGTCATCTCTTGTCTCTCCATTTTCAAGAGGGCCGACTGGCCCCTTTGGGGGACGTTGGCCAATCTCTGAGACTCTCTCCCCGCTGCCTCTCGGGCGGGACTGCTGCCGGTGCCCAGTAGGAACAAACAGAGGGAGGGTCCAGGAGGAGGACTTGGGGGACCTGTGGTGAGGATCCAGGGGAAGAATCCAGGCGGGTCAAGGAGGTGTCTGAAGGGATCTGGAGGGGATCCAGGGAGACCCTTCCGGAAGCGGGGGAAAGGCAAGGGGTTGGGGAAAGGGTTGGGGCTGCCGCTATACACAGGTGGCTCCGTGAAGGGTTACCGCCCAGTGCAGCTCTGTGGGGGAGCCCCCACTCTCTCCGTGTGACCTCTGAGCCACCAGCCTCTGCCTTCCAGCTTCGCTCCGACCTAGAGCCCCTGCCCTCCCCTCTTCCACCCTCCTAGGTTTTTGTCATCGAGGTGAAGACAAAAGGAGGATCCAAGTACCTCATCTACCGCCGCTACCGCCAGTTCTACGCCCTGCAGAGCAAGCTGGAGGAGCGCTACGGGCCAGAGAACAAGAGCAGCCCGACCACCTGCCGCCTGCCCCCGCTCCCAGGTGGTTGCGCCAGGCTCCCCCTGCAGCTCCCGACTCCACCACGCTTTCACTTCAGCCCACGTGGAAACCATTGCTTTGGCCTGGCAGTGGCGACCACGGACCCTCCCTTTCTGCTGCCACTTCCGTCTTCCAGGGCTCTACCTTGGAGCTCTTGACCCCTACAGGCTTTTGCTTATTTTTAATTCCTTTTTTGTAGTACTGGGAGTTAAACCCAAGCCCCAGGGCATTCACACCATGCTACATCCCCAGTCCTTAATTTTTTATTTTTGAGATAGGGTCTTGCTAAGTCAAAAAATTGCTGAGGCTGGACTTGAACTCCTGATCCTCCTGTCTCGGTCTCCCAGAGTGCTGGGAGGACAGGCGTGCACCACCACATCCAGGCCCTGATGGCTTTTTCAGCCTCCCTAATTCAGCCACCTACCTCCCGGGTGGCCATTGCACGGGGCACGGCCACACCTGTCCTCTCTGCCTGGGGACAGGAATCCTCCCTCTGCCTCCTTAAGCACACAGGGCACCTGCAGCTGCCCTCTTCCTCCACTCTGCCTCCAGTGTCCTGTGGCTCACCTCCCTGCCCTGGCCCTCCGGGAAGTGCAGCACCACAGTCCCGTTTGGGGACAGCCCCCTTACCCACACCTTGCCCTCCCTCCCTGCCCGCCTGTCCTCATCCATACCTTTGGCAGCTCCAAACCCCTCTAACTTCACAGCTCTTGCACTGCCTTTTGACCCCTGAGAAAACCCAGCACCCGTGTGTTAAGGGGGTGGGCTCAGCAGGGTCCTCCAGGTCCTGCAGGACAGGCCTGCACCCTTCCCAAGCCTCCGAGACCCTGCCCAACTTCCCCTTCTTCCCAATGCCCCACTGTGTACAAACCCCCTAAACCACCTATCTATCATCTATCACCTATCTATCTATATCTATCTCTATCTCTATCTCAATCAATGACCACATTCAGCTCCAGCCTCTCATTTCCCCTCTGTTCCTTGGGCTGCAAGTAAGGAGGTGGGGCTCACCCACCGGAAGTGACTTCTCCCCTAGCACCCTGTCCTAAGGGGTACAGCTGTGGGCAGAGCAGGCAAAGATCCTGCTCCCTTGGAACACACACAAGAATATACAGCACGGATGTCAGCAGTGGATGGTGCAGGTCAGGGGAATGCAGCTGAGTGGTGGCCAGACTGCCCACCTCATTGCCATGGAAAGATAAAGGGAAACTCTGAGCCAGAGATGGGGCCTGGCACTTCAAGGATGGCTCTGAGGATAGTTCTTCTCTCCTTAGCCAAAGTCTACATGGGCGTGAAGCAGGAGATAGCGGAGATGCGGATCCCGGCCCTCAATGCCTACATGAAGGTATCTGCAGCCTGTGGCCTGTGCTGGGGAGGGCACTGCCTGTGTGCTGTGGGAGGTACCACCCTGGCACCATGTGGGAAGTGGCTGGCTCTCTGGCTCCCATGGCCCCATCTTTAGTCCTTGAGGGCCTGGTTTGGGGAAAGAAGCTGGACGAGCGTTTAGGGTTCTATAGGTTAGGCCAGGAGCAAGGAAAAGGTACAGGGAGCCACGCTTTGAATGGATAAATCTTCAGTTAGCAGTCCAAGCCCACCGGTGAGGGTACAGTGTGAGCATACTGTGGTAGACGAGGGCCGATGCTTGCCCCGAGGTGCCCAGCGGGAACAAGTGCGGGGTGAAGCCGGAAATCACACGGAAGCAGGGATATGCCCAGGTCAGGGGCAGGACGGCCCAGGTCAGGGGCAGGACGGTCCAGGCCACGCCCACTGAGGCAGCTCTTTGCGCCAACTAGAGGAGGACGCCCACCCCCAGGCTGACACGGCCCCTCCCTTAAACTCAGGCTGGATTTTAGCTGCACTTGCTGTTCTGTTTGGACACCCTGGTGTATTCCCCAACCTTCAACCTATCCACATCCCTAAAAATTGGGACACGGGGGTAGGAGCTTCCTAAAGGCAGAGGCGGGGTCTTCCACAAAGGACTCTGAGCCAAGAGTGCCTGGTCACTGGCTATTGTTTTCGTCCACGAGCCCGCTGGCGGAACAAGGTTCAGGGGCCGGACTGGGAGGGCAAGGAGCGGAATCACGACAGAAACTTCCGGAAGGTTTCTGGAACGCTTCCGCTTTATTCCGGAAATGCACAGGCTTATATTGGGAACCATGGGAGGAGCAGTCACGTTTGGCGATATCTTATTGGCCAGACATGGCGGAGTGATTTTTCTTGGGTGAGGCAAAAGAGTCATGGACTGGGGCAGAGGTGTAGCCGGTTGGACCCAGCATCTACGCACTTGGGCGAGTTAGCTCAGCCTTAGCAAGGTCTTCGAGTTAGCTCAGGCGACAGGAGTGCGGCTCAGCTGGCCCAGCCAGGCTTGAACTTCTCCCACAACCAGCGGCATTCAGGCCATGGCTTCAGAGCAGCCTCAGGAGGGAGGGGAAGGAAACTGTCTTCATAGTCTTCAGGTGTCCTCACAACTGAAGAGCACTGAACTGGGAGTCTCGTCGTCGCTTTGATGTAGACGGCTGGGTGACGTGGGTTGACTTGACCCTGCTCTAGAGAGGTTTCAGTTTTCTCACCTGCAAGCTGGGCCAGCACCTCCTGCCTCTGGTTAGGATCTGTGGAGAAAAGGGTGGGAAGGTGCTCTGTGAGCTTGAATCTGCTTGTAACAGCTCCGACTCCTGGCAGAGGGAGGAAGCAGGGGGGCCGCAGCGGGCAGCAGGGCGGAGAATGGGCAGCCACAGTGGTTGCAGTAATTCTGGGCTCTGAACAAGGAAGAGGGAGGGAAGCCAGCGGCTGCAGCACTGGAGGCGCTGCCCTCAAGGGGGCGCTGTGACCACTGCTGGTGGCTGAGGCTCTAGTCTGCTGCGGGCTGGTAGAAGGGTGACGCTCTGGACTGAGGAGCAGATGGGAAGAGAGGCTGCAAAGCTAGAGGTTTTTGCCTCACAACCAATCTTAGCAACCAGCCTCCCAGGGGATCCTCTCTCTGCTTTTGTCTGATTGGGGTCCTGCAAGCCTTCAGGGCAGTGAAGCCGTCCTATCCTGCACTTGCACACCTTCAGAGATGGCGAGCTCACTACCAGTCTACCCGGATCAAGGCTGCTTGTTCCACTGTTGGATAGCTACTAGTAAAGCCCGATTCCTTATAAATCTCACCCCTGGACTTACCCCGTCCTCATGAGGACCAAGAGTCACATGGTCACGACAGCTCACTGGGACGGTGTCGGTTCTTTGGCAAGCAGAAGGCTCTTGATATACCTTTGTGGGGGTAAATGGATCATTTCATTTAATCCCCTCCAAAACTTGTGAGTTTGCTACTATGACCTCCATTTACAAATGGGGGGAAAGGGGGACTGAGGGGTGAAGATACAGGGTGTCACAGGGCAGTTGGATAGGACTTGAGCCACACCTGCCACTCCAGGCTTTGACTTCTACCCAGCGGGCTGGGATGTAGTAAAATGACAACACACACGAGAATGGTTGGTGCCTAGATGCCTAGTAGTGAGCGCTAGTTAGTTATTAACCCTCATGTAACCCCACCGGGAAGAGACTATTCTTGTCCCCCATCATTAATGAACATCAGGTCACCCTGCAGGTGAGCAGTAGAGCTGGGATCCTGACGCCCCTGCCCTCCCTGGGTCCCAGCCCAGTCTTTCCAGGCTCCAGAACCCCAGTGCTTCTGGGGTGATCCCCTGTCCTGCATTCTTTGGGTGACTCCTATGCTGTGGCCTCCAAACCCTCCTCTGAACACGTGGGACAGGGCGGTGGAGGGCGTGGCTGGGCTCCCCGCCAGGCTGAGGCTCCAGGACCTCACAGCATGGGGGCGTGTAGCCAGCACAAGTGGAGCGAGGAGTCTGGGGCTCAAGTTCCCACAGTGCCGCTTTCCAGCTCTGCCCCTGAGCCGAGCCCTTTGGCTCTCTGGGCCTCAGTTTCCCCAACTGTGAGATGAAAATGACAAGAAGCGTTTTGAGAGCTGCAGTGCCACGATCGGTTGTCAATTTGGTTATTTAGGGAACTAAGAGGTGGGCTTCAGTGGCTGATGGCTCTGGGTGCCTCAGCTCTTTCACTCTCTAGGCTGTGTGGCCTTAGACTGGTCCCTTCCCGCTCTGATCCTAAACGAGGCAGACAGAGGCTACGTGTGTGGTGCTCAGCTCAGTGGCTGGCACAGTCAGCGCCAGGTCGTGGTCCCCATCCTCACCACTGTCGTTGTTTGGGGGACCTTTAGGTGTTTCCAGATAAACTTCCCTTGCGCCAGGGGGGCCCCTGCTAACCTAGTGCCCAGGAGCAACCTTGTGAAATGTTACCTCCAGCCTGCTGAGTTTCGGAAAGAAGCTGCTTTCTATCATCAGGCATAAGATACGTTTGTGGAGACCGGAGGGCTAGCAGCAGGAGGCGGAGGCTGCACAGCTGGACTGGCTTCCCCATCTTCCTGCTGAGCCCTGTCCCACCTGCTCGCCCCACAGAGCCTCCTCAGTCTGCCGGTCTGGGTGCTGATGGACGCCGATGTCAGGATCTTCTTTTACCAGTCGCGCTATGATGCGGAACAGGTGCCGCAGGCCCTCCGCCGGCTCCGCCCTCGCACCCGGAAAGTGTGAGTAGCTGTACATGGTCGGTGCCTCCTGCCCTGGGAAGGGAGAGGGAGGAGGGCCGGTTCTGCTCCTGGATGCTCCCGCACAGTTTGGCAATTGGATGAGTCTGGAGAACCAAATTTGGGGCTATAGGGAGTGTGTTTTGCTGTGTGATGGTCAGGTGTGGAGGTCGAGGACCAGGATGGTGGCCCGGAAGGGTCTGGTGCCACGGCAACTGCTGGGGGTTGCTAAGGCTTCCTGGAAAGAGGAGGAGCTGGCCGGGAGAGAGACACTCCATGCAAACTGTCCCTCCTCAGACACTTTGTCCCTAATATTAGGGTTCCCCTGGGCCAGCTGCGGCCTGGCCCTCCAATCAGGGGACGCTGCTGCTCCCCACTGCCAACAGGAAAAGACTTACCACGCCCTTCCTGCCCTGCCCCAAGCAGAAAATGCTACCCATACTCCCAGCCACTGGCTTCAGCCACCCAAACTTCCAAAGCCAAGTCTGCTGATTGTAAGAATTCCAGGGAAGAAGCAGGCGTGGCTTCCACACCAGTAATCCCAGTACTCAGGAGGCTGAGGCAGGAAGATTATGATTTGGAAGCCGGCCTGGACAACTGAGGGAGGCTTTGTCTCAACAAAAAACCAGAAAAGGCAGGACAGGAGATCCAAGCCCAGCCTATACCTCCCAGCTCTCCTCTTTGCTCCAGCAGTGTCTCCTGCTCTCAATCAGCACCTGATGTCACCCCTGTGTACCCAGAAAAGTGTGGCCTGAGCCCCAGCTGTGTCTCACAGAACAGGGCTTGTCACATCTCCAAGCCTTTGTTTCCCCAGCTAGAAAATTTAGCGGAGGGTAGCTGTCAGGAGCAGGAGAAAGAACAGTGGTGGAGGCTCCAAAAATTGAGGGGGCCAAGGGAAGGTCCTTCATCCTCTTCCCAGCCCCCTCAGCCTCGCTTCTGGGCTCACACAGGGGAGAAAGTCCCACCTCCAGACTGCCCGGAGAGCGGCAGGAGAAGCACAGGGGAAGGACAAGTTCTTGCGGTGCTGCGCTTTAATGTCCTCTCCCTCCCTGCCTGTCCTGCCCCTCTGAACACAAAGACAGGAGAATTGGGAAGCTGACCGGTCCCTCCTCCCTGTCCACAGCAAGAACGTGTCCCCACAAGGTACCGGCTTGGACCACCTGGCGGCCCCACGTGCAGAGGTACCCCCACCACAGTGGCAGTCGGGGGTGGGTGAGGGGCGCCTCCATCCCACTGAGGGGAGAGCAGAGACCAGCAGACAGGGTCCGGGGCAGGGGAGAAGGCTCCTCAGGGTCAGCACCGCCATGAAGACTGAAGTCTCAGAAGTGACTCAGATAAGACTTTGTCCCTCAGCTCGCAGTGTGCTGGGCACATACCTACAGATGGTGCGGGCAGTGCCTGGGGGACAGCAGCTGGGTCAGGGGAAGCCGGAGCATGCACGTGCTCCAAGCATCACCATCCAGGGCCAGGTTCCTCCACTAACAAATGGAGAAGCCTCAGATCAGGGAATTGCCCGCTTGAGCCTCAGTTTCCTCACTTGTGTATGTGCGGCCGAAGCGAGCACATCCTCACTTGTAAATAGGACACGAAAGGATGGAAAGAGCTTCAGGAAGAGCTTGGTGAACGCCTGTTCCCTACACACCCTGCTCTTCTCCCCAGGCCCTGTTCGATTTCACGGGGAACAGCAAGCTGGAGCTGAATTTCAAGGCTGGAGATGTGATCACCCTTCTCAGTCGGATCAACAAAGACTGGCTGGAGGTGAGTGGCAGGGGAGGAGGGAGGAGGGGGGAAGTGAGGATGAGGATGGGGTGCAGAAGGGAGAAAGAGGTGAGGATGGAGGTGAAAACACTTCAGGAGAGTTTGGCAAGGCCAGGGCCACTTGGGAAGGCCAGGGAAGGCCTTAGGAAGACCCCAGGTGATGACACCCTGGCAGGTTTGGGGAACCTGCGGGAATCCAGGCCCTAGGGAGAGAAGCATAAGGTGGAAAGAGAAGATGCGGGAGTCTGTGACCTTCCCTATGGTTCTAGCTCCAAAGCTCATGTCCCTTTGGGTACAGACATTTGCTCCCTGAGCTTATTTCTTGGTCTTCCTAGCAACGGCACTATTGACCTTTGGAGCTAGACAGTGCTGGCGAGGGGCATTCCTGTACAGCCTGGGGTGCGCAGCAGTATCCCTGCCCTCCCCATGAGGTGTCAGTTGCGACAGTCATACAGGTCTCTAGACATTTGCTCGTGGGGACAACATCACCCGCGGTGGAGACCCTGGTCTGTGATGTGGGATAACATTACTCACCTTGCAGGTAGCAAAACAGATTGCAATTAAGAGTGTGAGCCCTAGAATCCTCCTGCGTGGGTCATTTCCTAGCTCCGTTTCTGATGGTCTGCTCATTTGTTTTGCTTTTGAGTGTCTTGCCAGGTGGCCCAGGTTGGCCAGGAACTCGTGGGCTCAGGTGATCCTCCCACCTCCCAAGTGGCCCAGACTGCAAGCATGCACCACGACAACCAGCTCCTAGCTCTGTTGTGCAGTAGCCTTGTGGACTTTTGGGAACTCACCTGGCCCCTCAGTGCCCTTTCCTGTAAATGGAGAAGCACTGACAGGTTCCTCCCAGCTTCCTGGAGGGATAAGGAGAGGCAGATGCACAGGGCTTGTTCACACAGAGCCTAGGTGCCTGATGTCTGGCAGGGTCCTGGTGTGACTTTGATAAAACTCGGAACCTGCTCTAGTCTTCACTTTGTCCCAGCATGGTCCTAGAAGAGGGACCCATAAGGACTCTGTGAGAGGACGGAGGGGGCCACATGCAGAAGTCCTGGCCTTTTGTGTCAAATCCCATTGTTATTAAAGAGATGCTCTTTGCTTAGTGCCCCTGGGCTGTGTCTGAAGGAGGTTCTAGGATACGCCGAGGCAGGGCCAGCTCCAGTGGACCATCGCCACTGGGGGGTAGGGTGGGGTCCCTGGTGTCTAGAGGCTGGAGAGGAAAAAGAGGCATCTGGTGTAGGTCCTGGAGCGCCATTGCAAACAGCTGGCTGCTCTCACGATCGCTGGAGGGCCCACTCTGATCATTCTGCAGAACGAGGAAATGCTATTGCCTTCCTGTTTTCTGGAAAGTCCTATGAGTCAGGGTGCTGGTCACCTTTTGGCCTCAGGTTACAGGGGCCAGGGGAGCAGGAAGCGGCCACTGTGGTCCTCAGCGTGTGCCTGCAATAGCTTGTGAAGAAGGCGGTCTTCCACCCTGCCGTCGGAAAGGTGGGCCCCCACATGCCGTCCGAGCAGGCAGGGAGAGAGGCCTGGGCTGGAGGGAAAGATTTCCGGCTGTTCAGTCACCGTAGGGGTGTCAGTGGTGCCTGGGGAATGAATGAAAGAGTGGGAGTCACCTGCAGGCCCCTCCACACCCCTTCCCATCCCTCTCTCCTGTCCTGTCTCCCTCCATCACACCTGCCACCACCTGGTCTCTACGCAGCCACCTGTGTGCCAGCTTCCACTGTAACAGGTGCTCCAAGCTGGCGCAGGCACTGATGTACCTTGAGTGCCCAGAGCCTGCATATAGATGGTGCTCAAGAAGTCTTGGTTGAAGCCAGGTGTGGTGGCTCATGCTTGTAATCCCAGCGCTCAGGAGGCTGAGGCAGGAGGATCCCTGTGAGTTTGAGACCAGCCTGGGCTGCATAGGGAGTTCCAGGTCAGTCTCAACTACACAGTGAGACCCTGTCTCAGAAATAAAACAGCCAAACAAAACAACAACAACAAAAGAAGCCTTGGTTGATTGAATGAACGAATGAGGGGCGATGGTTGCACTATTACCTCTAAGGGCATTCAGTGATCTTAACACCTGCCTCCAGGCCCCACCCCTTAAAGGCTGGAGACCACCAGCAATCACCTGGAGACCGACCCCCAAACACACGGAATCTGGGGACAGTCAGAGCCCATAGCACTCTCCCTCTGTTTGAGGGGAGCAGGATGTCGCCTGTTTTCCTCATCATTATGAAAGGCCTGGGGCTGCAAGCCATTGCCCTGCTCCCTCCCCTCTGCACACCAGGAGCCCCTTCTTCCTCTCCTTAGGGAACTGCCAAGGGAGTGACGGGCATCTTCCCAGTCTCCTTTGTGAAGATCCTCAAGGACTTTCCTGAGGAGGACGACCCCACCAACTGGCTGCGCTGCTACTACTATGAAGACAGGATCAGCACCATCAAGTTTGTGGCTGGCTGGGAGAAGGGGCTGGGCTACCTTTCCTGCCACTCCTCCAGTCTCTGTGCCCCATTCTACATTCTCATGTCGTCTGCTGACCGCTCCAAAGCCTGCTGTGGCTCCCACTGTCTTCCCAATCAGTCCAGCCTTATTCCCAGCCCACCCCCCCGACCTATGTTCCCACTCAGGCTGATGCCCCTCTCCCCTTCCTGTTGCCCTTAGGGACATCGCGGTGGAGGAGGACCTCAACAGCACTCCACTGTTCAAAGACCTGCTGGAGCTTATGAGGTAAGGGGCCCAGAGCAGAGTTCAGAGGGGTCACTGCCTGCAGGTCAGACTGGGGAGCACTGCTGGCCCCTAAGGTGCAGGAGTCTGAGTCCATCTTGCCCTCTTGCTGTGCTCCTGGCCCTGAAGGCTGAGCATTGTCTCCCAGGTGAGACATGAGCCAGAAGACAGCAACAGAGAGGCCAAGGGGCTACCTCAGGTTACACAGTGTGTGGCCAGAGATTCGCACTAGAACTAAAGTCTCTCTAGCTAACAGCCCTGAACTTGGACACAGTACTGTCAGGGAAATCACTGCTCCTCCAGATCCAGGGCATCACTGAATAGTTATTCCATGGAACAGTAGTAGTGTGGTTATATTTCTTACTATAAAAGTAAAGCCTACTCACACACACACACATGCATACACACGTGCGTCGTTTGGTGGATACACTAGAATTAAGGCGAAATGACTTTTGTCGGGCACCTAGTCCCCTCCCACGGTGATACTACCATAAACTAACATGGGAGCATCTTTGTCCCCATATTTGATGTCCCATCTGATTATTTCCTTGAGATCATAATCCAGAAGTGGAATGCAGGGATCCAAGTATGTGCAGTGGCACCCCTTGGGTCAAATTTCCTCTAGGGAGTTCAGGTCAATTTTTACTTCCACCACCAGGGGGAGGATACCTGGGCCCTGCAGCCCTCATCAGACAACCCGGTTCTCTCCAGGAGCCAGGTCCTCCTGCACAGCTCACACAGGGCTCTGTCTCTCAGTCTCTGTCTCCATCTCTCTCTGCCCCCACCTCTGCTCTACTCTGTGCCCTCCCAAGCCATTTTCTCTTCCTGTGACAATTCCTCAGCCCTAGCAAAATCACGTGCAGGACATTCAGGCTCTGCCTGTATTTATTGTGAAAATCCCTTCTCCCCTCTAGATCTGTTTCCCCATCTGAGTAGCACGAAGAAGCTCTTCTTAGACGCCAAGAGTCCATATCAAGTTCTGACCTCCTTTGGTTCTCAGATCCAAACTACAAGCATCTCCCTGCTCCTCTGCATAGGCCCAAGGCCTCTGGGTTCTCTCCTTGGCCCTTGGGTTAACCCTCACTTTCCCCACCCAGGAGGGAGTTCCAGAGGGAAGACATCGCCCTCAATTACCGGGACGCTCGGGGGGACCTGGTGCGGCTGCTATCAGACGAGGATGTGGGGCTCATGGTGAGGCAGGCACAAGGCATTCCCACCCAGAAGCGCCTCTTCTCCTGGAAGCTGCACGTCACCCAGCAGGACAACTACAGTGTCTACAACACGATGCCCCGATCCACTTGGAGATGAGAACCTTCTGGAAAGATGGGAAGGACTAAGAAGACCTCCAGGTTCAGAGGCTGTGAACCCCCCCTGGGCTTGATAGTGTGTTGTCAGTGTCTACACTTAACTCTGGATTAAATAAACCTTTTCATCTCACAGGGCCTGCCTGGGGAAATAGTTTCTTTTGGAGAGAGAGAGAAGTGAGATTAAAATACCATTGTCTGAGTATCATCTGTGGCCATTTACATCTAGCAGGGAGAAATCCAGGGACACCCATTCCGCTGCCTGCTGTCCCTTTGTCCCCTTGCCCCTCCCCCACCCCCTTTTCCTGGTACTGGCTGTCTGCTCCTGGGCCCCTGGGGTCCCTCTGATGCCCATCCTTGTTGTGTGATGAGCTCAGGACTTCTTCTGCCCCCTTGGTGCCATTGCCTGGCAGAGCAGAGGAAGATAGATGGATCTTGGTGCCAGTTGTCAGTACTGCAGATAGGGGTGAGGTCAGAGGTGAGCAAGGGCTTTGATCTTTCCGGAGATGAGGGGGAGCCCGAGTCACGAGGTCTTCTGTGAGCTGGAGCTCCTTCCACCCAAAGCCATCAGAGTTCAGCAGATGTCTCTTCCAGAATGGTAGTGTGAGGAGTGCGAGGGGCCCTCTCGCCAGTGAAGCACCCATTTAACACATGGAAGCACCCACTGCCAGCCAGTTGGAGTCTCTAGGGCATTAAGCAGTTGGAGGAAGACTTATTGGTGGAAGATCGCTGAATGTCAATGAGAAGAACCGACTCCACGGCCCATGAGCTCCAGCACGCTTCCACCTACGACCAGAGAAGAAGGGAGAAGGGGCAAGCTATGCCTTTCAAAGGCAAGTACTCAGTGACTTAATTCCCTACACTGGGCTCCACCTCCCAGGACCACATCCAGCTGTGCATTCATCAATGGGTTAATCCATTGACGCAGATCTAATCACCTCCCACAGCCCCATCTCTGAACACATGAGATTTGGGGAGGACATTTAAACCACAATAGATTCCACACAAAGAGGGATATCCTAAAACAACAAATCAACACCACCCCACACTCTAGTGTTCACGTAGAAGAGGCTGTCAAGAGGAAGATGTCACTCCAGGCGAAGCATCTTGCTTCCCTGCCCTAGTTCTGTTGTAGTGGTGCAAAGGTTCTGCCGGTGGAGAGAGATAAGACTGAAGGATGGAGAATCCCGTAGCTTTACCTGAGGGAACTGACTTTTGGAAGGAGACTTGAGGCATTGTCACAATTAATGGAAATCTCAGTGGACAGAAATTAAGAGACTAATAGCTCCAAGATAATAATCACAAGAAATGAAATGCAAGGTCATAAATGCAATGGAGATCCGAGGAAAGATACAACCAAGTTTAGCTTCTCTAGGATTACAGTTATCCTTGGGAGTTGTAGAAGACTATTTCTGCAGGTGGCACCCACTTAGGAGAAATCAGAGTAGGAACAGTGGCAGACTTAAAATAATTCTGTAAACCGCATGCAGATCTATCAGAAAAACACACTTAGCCATAACTTCTGATGAAACAGTGGATGCATAGTAAGATACTATCATTCACAGATTCTTAGGAAGCTGAAATTATGTTCATTTCCTGGTGGTCTAGAAGACTGTGTGCAGTGTGCGCTGTGCATGCCCATGGCTGCTTGCTCTCAGGAATGAATGGAGAAAGAAATTCTGAACAAACATGAGACAAAATTATAAACACTCCAAGCTGTGAAAGCAGTCTCCAACCCACAAACACAATCCAAGATGAAGGATAAAACTATTTGGAAAAGGGACTTGGGCACAACCATTCACCAAGAAGTGTCTTGTGGAGATCCAAGGGCAATTCCTAGGAACAAGCTTTAAAAACTAAGGAGAAAAATTCTAAACAGGGACATCAGAGGCAGCTGCACACTGTGAGGAAAATCAATGTTACAAAAATTAGTTCATCTAAGACAAATGACCAATCAATAATAGCAGCATTAAACCCCAGAGGGATAAGGAGGATTTATATCCAAAGTCATTATAATTTGTTATCTAAAATAGTCAATTCTCTACAAACATAATTATGAGAATTTCAAAGAAAGAAGAAAGTAGTACCTATCTATGGGAGGGAAAGTATCAGGCAACAGAAACTGCCTGTGAGGAGGGGCTAGATATTGGACTTAGCTAATGAGGACTTCAAAGCATATATAAATGTGTTCAAAGTACTGAAAGAAATCGTGTTTAAATAAAAGAAAGAAAGGGGCAGGATTTGGCTCAGTGGTTCCACCAACTGCCTTGCAAGCACAAGGGCCTGAGTTTGATCCCAGGTACAAATAAATAAATAAATAAATGAAAGAAGGTATAGTAACAATCACTTATTAAATGGGGAAGAGCGATATAAAGGCAAAATGATTTTTAAAAGAGAAGCCAAATTGAAAGTCTAGAGTTAAAAAGTACAATAATGGAAATGAAAAATTCCCTAATGTCTCAAGACTAGATTTTAATTGGCTGAAGAAAGAATAAGTAACCTGAGAAATGGATCAATAGAATATGTGAACTTAGTAAAGAAACATGAATAAAGAAAAGTGAACAGAATCTCAGAGAAATATGGCACACTATTAAGCGTACTAGCATATGCATAATGGCAATACCAGACAGAAAATAAAGAGAAAGAAAAAAGATTAGAAGAAACAATGGTTGAAAGCTTCACAGATGTTAGGGAAAATACTAATCTATATGTTAAAAAGCTAAAAATATCCCTAAGTAGTATACAAAGAGAGCCACAACATCTATCATAGTCAAAATATAGGCAGACAAATACAATAATACCTCACTTCATGAATGGTGTTACTGTATTTGTGATTAGCAAAATGTTGCTTCCATTCATGAACTTTGCATGAGGCGATGAACACAACCATGGCCATCATACCGGCACGAAGTCACATGTAGTCATCTTTCCCAGAACGGTGGAATGGATGCTAGTGAACTGAGGTGTCACTGTACAAAGAGAGCAATGACTCACCCATGTAAGAGGAGTAGCATACAATAGGAGCAACAACTGACTTCTCATCTAAAACGGGGGAGGCCGAAAGACAATGGCGATGACAAATTCAAATAGTTGAAAGTAAAAAGTAACTGTCAGTCAAGAATTCTGTATTGAGCAAGCTGTCTTTCAAAAATTAAAGTGAAATGAAAACATTCCAAGATGTGTGAAAACTGAGAGAATGCATTGTTAAAGCACACTTGTTGTACAAAAAATATTAAAAACTCTTCAGGTTGAAAGGAGCTTTCAATAAATAATAATTCAAATCCACACACAAAAAAATAGGAAGTTTTGATAAGGTAATTATACAGTGAATAATAAAGGACAGTATGGATGCCCATTTCTTTTTCCTTCATCTCTTAAGTGATTTAAAAAGAAACCTGGAAAAAGTATAAAATTGTAACATTAAACCTATATAGAAATACAATGTATTTGACAATAACAACACAAAAGAGAGGGTAGGAATCATTAGAGTAGAAAAATGGCTGTAGATGGTAATTTGAGTCCATGGGAAGAAATTATGACAGACAAGAGTAGTAAGTAAGATGATAATTCATCTCCTTCATCCTCTTACTTAAAAGACTTAAGATTGTGTACAGCAATCATCATAATGTATTACTGTGTTTGTGTCACATTTAGCACACAGAGAGCAGGGAATGGAGCTATTTAGGTAAAAGGTTTCTGTATCTTGCTGGAATTGTTAGCACATATCAGAAGCATATTCTGATCATTTCGACTAGATATCATAAACCTGGTAGCCACCACTAAGAGCTAAGAATATGATTCCAAAAAGATCTAAAAATTTTCAGTAGATTAAATTAATGCAAGTATTAGTTTGCTAGGGCTACCACACGAGCAACCAAACACTAGGTGTCCTCAACAACATCTGAAATATATCACAGGCTGGAGCCTGGAAGTCTGAATTCAAGGTGTTTGCAGGGTTGGTTCATGCCGAGGACTGTGTGAGAAGGACCAGTTCCAGGCCTCTCTCCTTAGGTTGTAAGCGGCCATCTTCTCCTTGTGTTTTTCATATTGCCATCCTTCTATTCAAGCCTGTCTAAAACTCCATTTTCATGAAGACACTGCTCTCATGACCTCGTTATAACTTGATCACCTTTGCAAAGACTATATTTTCGTTTAAGGTCGCATTCCTGAGTAGGAATCCAGCATATATTTTTTGGAAAGGAAGGACACATTTTAACCCATAACAGTACGTTCTAATCTATTTGAAAAAGAAGTAAAATGGCTTCTCAATGTGTGCTCTTCCAAACCCAGTCATTTGGCTTCTCAGGTGGTGCCTGACCAGATTCACTGAAGAACCCTCTTCATAGAGAACACCTCCATCCTGGCTAGGACATAGTCTTGGAGGATCCAGGACCCCTGCAAGAAGCTGGGGTTCCTCCAAGAATCCTTCTACACACTAAAAAAAGTCTTTGCTCAGAGAAGAAAAACAATGGCTCTTGTTCTGAAGAATAAAGATCATGCTGTTGTCAGAGACAGAGCCTGAGAGGTCAGGCTGGGGCTTCTGTGCTAGGTCAAGTCTCTGGAGTGAGAGCTGTAGGAGTCCTGGGTGAGGGGCATTTCTAGCTCCAAACAGAAGAAAAGGAAGTCTCCTCTGGACTAAAATGTCCCTAGTGTAGGCTGATAGGCATCACTCAGAGTAAGATCAAGCAAAGTCTGACAGTCAAAGACCAACAAATCTGTGAATGAGAAGGCCAGTGACAGCTTTAGAGCCCAGTGCCTACAGAATGTTAAACTACATGACTAAAATGTGTGAAGATGTGAACAATGAGGTCAAAAGACAAATGAGTAAAAGAAGATACCAGGCAAACTTTCAGATTTGCAAAGGACACTTACATGACTAAAATGTGTGAAGATGTGAACAATGAGGTCAAAAGACAAATGAGTAAAAGAAGATGACCAGGCAAACTTTCAGATTTGCAAAGGACACACACACACACACACACACACACAGAGATACTAGGGATTGTATAAAAGTTCATGCACTGGAAGCTTGGGCTCCAATGTGGTGATGTTGATGTGGTGAAACTATTAAGAGAAGTGTTTTCTGAATGATTAGTGGTGACTTTATACCAGTGGAATAAACTTATTGTAGCCA